TTTCCTTATATCTAATACAGTGTAAATTCTATGTAAATAATTGCTGTATTGGATTATTTAGGGAGTAATGACACGAAAATCTGCATATATTCAGTAGAGATGAAAGTTTTTTAAAAAGTATTTTCTTTTTTTGTCTTTTTCCTTTTTATCGGTACCGGGAATCAAACTCACGACTGCCTGCTTGCAAGGCAGGCGCTTATGCCGCTGAGCTAAACATCCAGCCCCAAGTTTTTTAAAAAGTATTTTCAGCTAGACATGGTGGCTTGTAATCCCACCACTCCAAGTTCCCAAGTTCAAGTTTACACTGGGCAATTTAATAAGTTAGCATCTCAAAAACATAAGAAAGAAACAAAGAAAGAAAAGTTATTCATGTACAGGTACAAATTCTCTATGATGAATGTGATCATTATGTATATCTAAAATGTACCACTAAAATCTGATTGGAGAAGAAAGAAAGTAAAGGGGCCGGGATGTAGCTCAGTATATAAAGGTGGGGTGGGGAGCTAATTTATTTGAAAGCTAAGAAGGGGTGGAGGCAGAGCTCCTGCCAGCAGGCAGGGGTTTTGAGCAGGAAGCCCATGGCGTCCTTTGCCTGGGGCTCTTTAAGGGGTTTAGGCTGCTGTGCAGGCAACATGATCTCCACCCCTAGAGAACTACGTTCCTTTTAGGGTCCAACCAAGGCCGTGTCCACACAGCGCCTGTGCAGGGCCCACCTGCCTCCCACTCTGGGGAGGCCCCATCAGCTGCAGGGTGCCCAGGAGATGTTTCTGTGAGCTCCCTGCCTCAGCCTGCCCCACTGTGGATGTTGTAGTCAGGGTTTGAAAGGGAAAAGATTAAATACAAGACACAACGTTTAGGATTATTTTATAATAGTCACCCAAAAAGTCAAATGCAAAACAAGTGTGGGAGACCTGGCCACACACCCAAGAATCCAGCTTAACACCTGGATCCCACAACAAATATCCTGCATGTGTCCAGCTGGAGGCCTAGAGAGCACTACAATGTCTCATGCAAGTCTGTACCAAGGATCTGCGCTGGGGAGGCCCAAAGGCCAGTGGTGGAAGCTGGGACGTCTGTACCAGCAGGGTAAAGGAGCTGTTGGCAGGCCAAGGAGTCTGCACTGGAGCCGGGAAGCAATGCTCAAGATAAGGACCAGAGTCCCCTGAAAAGAACCACAACCGTCCTCAGTGACAGTGAGATCTTGAGGTCCTCGAAGGATGACAACAACCAAGTTGACATCAGGAAGCCAGCATGACAAGCTTCTCCAGGAGCATCAACGGCACACAGCTTCCCTTCCAGTTTCACTGTTATGCTGCTGGCAACACTCCTCAGGTGAGCTCTCCGCACCCAGCACCACGCTGACTCAGTTCAGCCGGGCATTATCAGCTAACCATTAGTTAATCTACCACAGTGGGGCCGCTGTCCTTCCTGCCTGATAGGATCCTGATCCTGGTTCCCAGGGGTGCAGGGCTGTGGCTGGAAGAGGATGGTTCTGCTCAGTCTGTCTGTCTGTCTGTCTCACTCTCTCTCTGTTGCTGTCTCCTCCCTACTCACATACCTTGAGACCAAGTGAACATACCATTGGCTCAGTCCAGTATGGTCTCGTTTGCACATTCATTCATGGTGCTGGAGCTGGAACCTGGGCCTGGTGCATGCTGGGTAGCACTCTGAGTTCCAGCCCAGCCCTGGTCCTATCTTAATGGATGTCGCACAGGAAACGGAAGTGTTTAAGAAACAACTAAGAACTGCTGATAATCTTGAATGCTGATGATAGCTAAATGTGATATTTCTTCCCAGCAGCCCATCTTTATTAATGATCACAGAGGTGGTACACACTGGTTGCTGACGATTTAGAAAGAGCTGGAAAGAAAATGAAAATCACCTGTGGCCCCTCACCAAGCATAATCATGCTGAGCCTCTGGTGTTTGTCTGATAGGGTCTTATTTCATGCATACATTATACACACGTGCATATTTATTTGTGATTTCTTATTTAGAGACAAGGTCTCACAATGTGTTGAAGCTGGCCTTGAACTCACTATGTACCCCAGGCTGGCCTCGAACTCACAAAAATCTTCCTTCCTCAGCCTCCTGAGTGCTGGGAGCACAGGTATGTGCCACCGTGTCTAGCTCAGATGTATGTGTGTTCTGAGACAGGGTCTCACTATGTAGTGCAGGCTGGTCTTGAACTTGCTCATATAACTCAGACTGGCTGGTTCTGAATTCATGGCAATCCTCCTGCCTCAGCCTCCCCAGTGCTGGGATTACAGGGGTACACCACCGTGCCCGTAGAATGTGTATTTTAAGAGTTGAGCTCCTGCTGTGTTTTAGAACCCTTCTCTGTTTAAGGTGATGCGATCTGTTTTTCACGTCTTTCATTCTTTTCATATGCAGGGTTTTTTACCTCACTGTGTAGCTGGCCCCATACTCACCGTGCCAGCCACACTGACCTTTCATCCCTTTCTTTCATCCCTTTTGTAGAATGTTGACTTGCAGCCCCCACGATGTATGTTCACCCCCAAATTTGGAGTGCGACATTATTGGGGCTTAGGGTCTTTGTAGTTAAGATGCAGTTGTCCTGGGGTAAAGTGGACCCTAAATCCAGTGACAAGTGTCTTTAGGCACAGGAGAGGGGACAGAGGCCTGAGAAAAGCAGGCTAAGTGAGGGGGGAGGCAGAGGAGGGAGTCAAGTGCCCTGGGCCAAGCAATCCAGAGATCTTGGGTGATCACAGACTCAGAGGAGGCATGGGACAGATCCAGAAAGCCAGGCGTGGTGGCACACACCCTCACCCCATCACTCGGGAGGCTGAGACAGGAGGATGATTGCAGTTTGAGGCCAGCCTGGGCTACTTCAGTGGGTTTAAGGCCAGCCCAAACCACACAGCAAGACCCTGCCTCAAAATAAAATAAAATAATAAGGTATAAGAAGTATAAAAGTCTTGGGGTGCAGCGCAGTGCAAGAGCCCTTTGTTCAATTCCCAGTACTGGATAAAAAACAAAAACAAGCCAGGCATGGTGGTACACTCCTGTAATCCCAGCACTCAGGAGGCTGAGGCAGGAGGACCATTGCAAGTTCAAGACCAGCCTAAACTACAAAGTGATTTCAAGTCCAGCCTGAACTGCATAGTGAGACCCTATTTCACAAAGACTAAAAACAAAACAATAACTCCAGAGGAACCAAGCCTTCCCACACTTTGGTTTCGGGCTCATGGCCTTCTGAACGGGAGAGACTTCATTTTCCACCATGATGTTGTGGCTGAGGCAGCCAGCACAAGCTCACACGCACACAGACCTCATCCTCTCCTCCACAGGCCCAGCCTGGGCCAGGCTTCCTGGGCTTGTCCCCTCCACCCGTGCCCCGAGCTTGAGCAGGCCAGGAGCTGTATGCAGAAGAGGACTCAGCCGTCCTGGCCCTGCCCTGCCCGGCCACTGGAGCAGCGCCAAGCACCTGGCAAAACCCCAGTGCGGGGCAAGGGCATCTGCTGAGCTCTGCACCCCGCCATCACCCTTCCCTTGCAAGAGTCCGGGTTTGCCCTCGGGCTCCCCACTGACTCAGCCTACTAGGCTGGGGAAATCCCTGCCCTCCGAGCTCATCTCAGTGCCTTCCGCAAGGAGGGGACCCAGCTCCTTGGGAGCCGAGTGGAATCCAGAGTCTCGAACTCCTCAGAAACACTGGAGAAATTTCCTCTCTCCCCACGCAGGCCCGGAGGCCAAGGGCCTCCAACTCTGTCAGTGTCCTGGAAGGGAGGCAGCACAAGTCTCCGCTTGCTCCGAATCAAGGTGCGACAGTGGGTAGAAATGAAAGTGTAACAGAAACCAGAATATCTCCTTTCCCTCTCAGAACCAGGAACTAAAACCACCCATAGGAAACTCTTCCTCCTCCTGCGGGAGGATCTCACTCGGGTCTGATTCCTCTTTTAACACACAGACACCAAGAGCTGGCTCACTGGGCTCTAAATAAAACTCAGGTTCCTCTGGCGACCCTACCTGTCCCACCCTTGCGAATTAAATTCCTCTTCTTTATATTTCTTGGCCCGTCCCATCCCGACACGGGTGTGAATTTTACTTTCTGTCTCATGACCTAACTCAGCGCCTGGGTCCTTTCCTCACTTTGCAGGGCACAGAATTCTCCCACCAGGACAGAGTTGACGGCCCATAAAGGTCTCAGCTTAAGTAAGACATCCAGACCGTGGACCCTAACCCAGACCAACGCAACGCCACACTGCATCTGCTATCAAAATTTATTGAAAGAATAGATTTAGTATAGGAACAAAAAAAACATAAGCAAATAACCCAGGAGGAATCGCTCCCCTGGATGATCCATCGGGCTGGCAGCACGTTGCTGTCCTCCTGGTAGACGCGGAGGCTGGAGGTGACTGTCGTCTCTGTCACTGCCCCGTAACTGCTTATAGCCCTGAGTGAGTGTAAACGGGATGATCAGAGCCCCCTGGTAGCTCTACAGCCACTGCTGTCCCTTAACACTGGTCAGCTCGGTCCCCCTGGAGCCTACTCCCTCCTCGCCACCACTGGGAACTCAGAGGTCACCCAGATCTTACAGATAAATGTCTCTTCCCCGTTCACTTCTGCCAGTGCCGGGCTGGGAGGTGAGTCAGGCTGACTCCTGACTTCTTAAGGCTGCCCGGGCTCCCTCCAGAACTGCATGGTTCTCCTCCAGCCTCTCCTTGTCCCTCCTGAGTCAGATCACCTGGGGAACTGAGGCCCATCCGAGTCTCAGGCAGGAGAAGGAAGGAGCCACGCAGCCCAGGTGCCGAAGGGAGGGACTGTGGCTCTGACAGCGAGACACTGGCGTGGATGCTGGGTCCAACCTCACAGGCTGCAGGTGGCAGAGTCGAAGAGGCAGTTTTAGTCATCTGGAAACCTCGCTCTCTGTCCGTCCCTCGGAGATCTCAGCCATCGCAGTTTGTAACCTAGCCGCTCACTCTGCCACACTGTGTGTCTGAACTTGCTTCGCTGAATCTGGAAAGTTTCAGATACGGCAGGCCAAGTCCAGGGATGTCACTGTGTGCTTCTGCAGAGGTCTCGCTTCCTGGTGATCGTCTCCCTCGGTAGCCTGGCCACTTAACGCGAGCTGGGGTCCAGACAAGAGGGGCTCCAGGGCTCGCAGGGCTTGGCCATCAGCGCCTCCGGGGCGCCCCTGCTGCTGCCCGGCTCCTCCGTGAGCTCCATGCTGGTGCTGCGGTTGTTGTCTGGCTCCCCAGTGGGTGTCCTCCGCAGGCAGCGGTTGAAGAGCTCGGAGAAGAAGTTGGGGAAGGACGGGCTGGAGAAGTAGTACACCACGGGGTCCAGCATGCTGTTCATGTAGGTGAAGCTGAGCGTGATGAAGAACCCCAGGTCCACTGAGTAGTACCTGGAGCAGTTCCGGGTGCCCCAATTGCGCAGCATCCGGAAGATGTGTATCCGCACAGCCACGCTGGGCAGGAAGCAGATGATGAAGACGATAGCCACCACCAGAATGAAGTTGATGGCCCTCTTGATCTTGGCGTGCCTGTCCATCTGTCTCTGCCGCAGGCTCCAGATGATCCTGACCGAGCAGAACAGGATGATGGCCAGGGGCAGGAAGAACTCCAGGAGGAACATGGTATCGTGCCATCCGAAGGAGTCGCAGATGCTGAAGCTGCTGCACAGGTGGAATTTGGAGTTGAGGTAGGGGACCTGCATCTGGGTGTAGAGGAGGTGGATGGTGAGGGCGATGGTGAGGACCCACAGGAGGCAGGAGATGACAGCCGCCGTGCGGTTGGAGATCTTGTTCAGCGCGTGATGGGGATGCACCACCCGGAAGTACCTGTCCACGGCCACCACCGTGAGGAAGATGATGCTGCCCTGCCGGTTCATGGCCAGCATGAAGAGCATCAGCCGGCAAGCCGGGTCCCCGAACCTCCAGTCCCACTTCTTCAAGTAGTTGTCGGTCAGGAAGGGCAGACAGATGATCAGGAGAAAGTCAGCCACGGCCAGGTTGAACAGGAAAATCCGGCTGGATTTCCAGGATTTGAGATGGAAGCAGAAAATCCACAGCGCCAGGCCATTGCCCAGGAGCCCAAACACAAACTCCAGCACCAGCACAGGCGGCAGCACCTGGGCGATGGCTTCCACCGGGAAGATACAGCAGTTCTTCCCTCGGATTTCCAACGGGTAACCCTGGGAACTCATGGTGGGCCTGGCCCGGCTGCGCCAGGGCACAGTGCCTGCGAGTGCTCCGGGAGAGGCTGGCGGTGTGGTGAACGTGTGGTTCAGCCCTCGACTTTATGTCATTGGGGTGTTGAAATAGATGACTGAATGGTTACCAGGAAACTACGAAATCGCTTGGAGAAAAAAAAAAAGCTAGCAAGGCTCTTATGCAACCTGCTGTTTGCATAAACAAGCAATAAAATCCCCTGTGCAGACAGGAACACACCGATTTCTCTAAATGTAAAGGGTAGGTTTGGGCAGGCTGACGGCCTTTATGAATTGCTAAACTCTGGGAGACGCCCCCTGGGGAAGGCCAGTTGTGTGCTCCTGACCAAGTGTGTATTAGCATTGGAGAGCTGAGCCCCGTGTCACTCGCTTGAGTGACATGACTGACAGGTCCTCCTTGGCTGTAATAGCAATGCGATGCTCAACAACACGGTTTTCCAGAGACTGTAAGGAGTAGCACGAAACCTCAGCGTGTGTCTGACATAAGAAAAGGGCAGCGTGCCTGTGATTGCTTTGGGAGAGGCTGAGCCCCCTTGCTCATTTTAGGAAGACAGATGTGTTGAACCTGCGCCCTTTTCCTCACCCACCTCTCTGTGCAAACATGGGTTGTTTCTCTGCACTGAACCCTGCAATACTTTCTAGTTAGAAAAGAATGCTGGGCTGGGGAGCCGGGTGCCAGGCGTGGCGGCACACACCTCACCCTCCAGCGTTGGGGGGTGAGTTCGAGGCCAGCCTGAGTTACACAGCAAGACCCTCAAAAAACAAATGAAAGCCAGGCATGGTGGTGCACATCTGTGGTCCCAGCCCTTGGGAGGCTGAGGCAGGAAGACTACCGAGAGTTCAGGGCCAGCCTAGGATAACTAGCGAGTTCAACGCCAGTCTGGATTGCATCAAAAAAAAAAAAAAAAAAAAAAAAAAAAAAATATTTTTTTTTTAGTTCATGTTTGCAGTATAGTGAATACATTCATTGGGGCTGCATGATTTTTTCTTAGTGTATGTGCTGCCAAAGCGAGCACAGTGCTTAATATTTTGTAATGCCCCCAATTTTGAATAATTTTTTTTTGTACTGGGGATCAAACTCATGACCTTGCACTTGTCAGGCAAGCAGTTGTGCCGCTGAGTTAAATCCCCAACCCCAACGCTCCCACTTTTGTGAAACTAAATTTAGAGCTGCAGGACCTAGAGAGCATTGAGCTCCTCTATGCAGGAAGACACCAGTTCTTGGATATTTTAGTATAACTTGAAGTCATCCTGTGGAACATTCTTACAGTTTAAGTTTGTGTTCATGAAGTTTTTATTTATTTTTTAAGATTGGATCTTGTTATGCAGTCCAGTCTGGCCCTGAACTTTATATTTAGCCCAGGTTGGTCTTAAACTCTTGATCCTCCTGCCTCAGCCTCCCAAATAGCCAGCATTACATGCATGAAATTTCTAATTATGTTGAAATTGGAAATGTGTTCCTTCAGCTGTGTGCCTACATTAATACGGGTTTGTAGACCCTTCACAGTAGAGTCTGAGTCCTAATAGATTCCCATGGGCGAGAGGACTGGTGAAGGAGAGGATGATGGTGATTACAGCATCTGTAGTACAAAGTTCCCAGCGTGTGGGACCCCATGAATATGTTATCTTCCTGTGCCTTGACTGAAACCTGTGAGGAAGGGACTATCATTGATCTTACTCCTTTTTCTTTTCTGAGTTTATTTGTTTTTGAGACAGCGTCTCACTATACCTTCCCGGCCAGCTTTGAACTCACTACGTGACCCAGGCTGATCTTGAACTCACAGCAATCCTCCTGCCTCAGCCTTCCCGAGGTTTTTGATCCAGGTGATGTGATTTTAGAATGAAGAAAGTGAAACTTAGAGAGGCTGATAATACGCTTACACCAACCAGCAGAGCTGGGATTTGCATCTGGCCCTGGCTTCCAGGCCCCGTCCTGCCAACTCCACTGCCCTGCCTCATGTTTGTTTATTTTTTGAAACAAGATCAGACTGGCCTTGAGCTCACTTTATAGCCCAGGTTGGTCTTGAATTTGGCAACAATCTCCTGCCTCAGCCTCCTGAGTCCTGGGATTACAGATTGAGCCGATCCTGCCTCCTAAACCTCTAGCTTGATTTATTAGGTTGCACTGGATCGAGGTCGTATTGAGCACTTGTACTCCTGAAATGACTGGTGTGGGTTCCCTCCCTTACTTCCTGTGAGTCCCATGCCTTCTTCTTGGATAAATGCGGACCTGTCATCACCAACACCCCACAGCGATCCTAAGGGCCCTTATTATTAGTTTGTTTTTTTGGTACCAGGGATCGAACTCACGACTTTGTACTTGCCAGGCAGGCACTTACACCACTGAGCTAAACCCCCTAAGGCCCTTATTAACCAAGAGTCCAGAAAACTATGAATGTAGAGGTTATTCTGGGAGCTGGAATTTTTTTTTGAGACGGGGTCTTGCTATGCAGTTCAGGCTGGCCTTGAGCTCACTTTGTAGTCCAGGCTGGTCTCAAACTCGCAATGATCCTCCTGCCTCAGCATCCCGAGTGCTGGGATTACAGGCGTGAGCCACCATGCCTGGAATTTGCAAAAGACCCCGGCCTTCCTTGCTTTTACCATTATATATATATATATATATATTTTTTTTTTTTTTTTTTTTGTCTTTTTCCTTTTTATCAGTACCAGGGATCGAACTTCGGGAAACCGAGAAACTCGGAGACCTCTGTACTTGCTTCGAGGTCTCCCAGTCTGATTCTAAATGGGGTCCCCAGCCTCTCAGGAGAACGCAGCTCCAGGCCTCCCTGGAGTTGGGTGTTGCTAATGGAATTTCCGGTTTTCCCACTACACAGCAGGCAGGTTTTGTCTTGCTTGGTCTTTCTTTTACGTATTTGTTTTTTTCTTTCTGGTGTGTGAGGTGTACAGAAACCTGTCTTCATGAATCATTTCAAGGACTAAGACAGTGATCCCACTGGTGGAAACTCCACTTCACTTTATGACTCTCACACCGAACTTAACCTCCACACTTGGTTACCCCCTGACAGGCTGACGGTAAGCTGAAAGACTAGGTTGAACTATTTTTTGAGACAGGGTTTTGCTCTCTTATTCAGGTTGACTTTGAACTCTGGGCTCAAGGTCCTCCTGCCTCAGCCTTCAGAGTAGGTGGGACTAGAGGTGCATGACACAAATTGCACTATTCAATACTGAACAGCTACTGGAGGTATAGTTTAGTGGTAGAGATCCTGCCTAGAATGTGCCAAGCACCACACACACACACACACACACACACACACACACACACACTGTAGCTGTCATTATCAGCTGTCATTTATCAACTGCTTTCTGTGTTGGCAGGACAGGAATTATACTAGAAATCTTCACTCATGATCACATTTAATCTTCATTCAAGCCCTTGGGAGTGATGCTATTGTTAACACCATTTCCATTTCACAGACTGGAAAACTGAGCCTTAGAACCATTAAGTACTTAGCTACTTCCTGTTTTTGACCACTCTGGGGTTCCTAATTTAGTTATTCATTTCTGTGTAACATACCACAGACATTAGCAGCTCCAGACAACACTGCTACATCATCACTTATGATTCTTTGGGTTGTCTGGGCTCAACTGGGTGTCTCTTATGTGTAGCCCTCGATGGCAGCTAAGCTAATGTTACCGGGATAGGCAAGCAGGGTACCAGCTCGTCTCCTACTTTGTAGAATCACGTGCCTCTCAGTGTGGCTTCTCTGTGTGACTTTTTTCTTCCTTTCCTTGGTACTAGGGGCTGACCCCAGGGCCTTTGTGCTGAGCTGCATCCCCTCTCCCTGCTTTTTTTTTTTTTTTTTTTTTTGGTCTTTTTGAGGCAGTCTCACTGCGCAGTTCAGGCGGGCCTTGAACTCATTTTGTAGCTCAGGCTTGCATGGAACTCAAAGCGATCCTCCAGCTTCAACCTCCCAAGTGCTGGGATTACAGATGTGAGCTACCATACCTGGCTTCACCCCAGCCCTTTAAAAAATTTTTATTTTGAAACAAGTCCTGCCTGCATTGCCCTTCCTGACTTGAACTGTGTCTCAGCCTGTAGAGTAGCTGGATGACACGTGGGCATCACCACCCCTGGCTACAAGTGGCTTTTTCAGTTGGCCTTTCCAGGGGGTCTCTGAGTGGCACTGACACAGAGTTTCTGTCCACGTCCTTCCTGAAGGGCAGGCTGGACACCATATGGGAGGCTGCTCGGTGTTCCCGGAAACCACAGGCCAGACACAGAAAGCCCTGGCCGTCGTCCCCACCATGTCCAGTTGGTCAAAGCGGGTCCCAGAGCCAGTCCGTGTCCCTCCAGGGAGACACTAGTGAGACAGCACGGATCACCGGAGGCCATGGACTGATGAACGGAACTCAGCCGTTCCACAGGGAAGGTCTGTCACAGGAAGCTGGGTGTGGATGAGGCCCACACGGGAGCCCGTCTGTCTAACCTCAGTGTCCCTCTGTCTCCCGCCCCCAAGCGCACACACGATGCAGAGGCAGCTTCCTGGATGTGCTTGACTTGTGCCCTGCAGGTGCCCTCTCAAAATCCAGGCCGGCTTCCCAGCAAGGGCTCTCCCTTCCACCTTTCCTCGGGCCCTGCGGATGCCAGCCAGTCCTGCGGGCCTCTCTGCCTCCTTGTGACAGGGTTTTGAGTCACGCTGGAGCCCACAGTGGCTCAGGGCACCCGGAACAGACAGCTGGAACCTTACATCACAGTAGGGCTGGGCCCCGGCCTCAGCCGCTGCCTCCCTGTAAATCCTGGCTGCTGCTTTACCCTCTGGCGCTGTGATCCAACCCTCTCTGGGCACCACAGGAGGCACCAAGTGCCTTCAGACACTTTCTTAACCTTTTAGATTTTAATTCTTAAAGGGTTTCAAAACAAAACAAAACAGACACATAAAAACATTCCACCAGGTGTGGTGGCATATGCCTGTAATCCCAGAGCTCAGGAGGCTGAGGCAGGAGGATTGCTGCAAGTCTGAGGCCAGCCAGGGCTACACAGTGAGACCGTGTCTCAAACAAAAAAAAAAAAAAGCAACAAGCAAAACAAAAACAGAAACAAATGCTGAGAACAAACCAGCACATAAATTTTGACCACTGGCAGCACCAATCACTGTTCCTGTGCCCACAGAAGCCCGAAGGGACTGCGGCTCGCTCCATCCGCCCTCCCCCCTCCTGCAGCTCTCCTGCCACTCTCCCTAAGAGCCTCGGGATGGAGGGACGTGGTCCCCACGAACCCAACATCTGGGCCCCAGATAGTTTAAATGGAGCTCTGCATCAGCGCTGCCCTCCTCTTCCTGATGACCCAAAATCCTTCTCGGTAACAGAGATTTGTGTCACATTCTGCAAATTGAAAAAGGGAAGCGAACTGAGAATCCAGACCTTGCTCAAAGTTTGCTTTCCCTCCCTCAGGACTTGTCCTCCCTGCTCGAGTGGGAAGTTGTGTCCACGTGTCTGCCCGAGCTTTGCGCTTCGGGACCACATGAGCCATGTTTACCAGGGAGGCCACCGTCGTGGAAGTCTTGTCACACACAGGACACACGCCTTCTTTCAAAACCTGGCTTTATTAAGATGAAGCAACCGCGGGGCGTGCGCGGAAGCAATTGCAAGGAAGAATAGGTTAAAAGCAGAAGCGCAGATTTCCACAGATTCCTATCAGGCCAGAGATGCTCACATACCCTTGGCTCCCCAAGCGGCCCAGAGCAGTGGAGAACAAGGGCTTCAGGTCGTGATAATCAAGCAGCTACTTAAAGGGCTCCTGCGCCTCAGCATGTGTGTGTTTGTTTCTGTTCTGTTTTAATTGCTTTTTCTTTTGTGTGGGTTTTTCTGAGACAAGATCTCACTATGTAGCCCAGACTGGCCTTGGACTCTGCAATCCTCCTGCCTCAGCCTCCCAAGCGGCACTGCACCTGCCTGTGCCTCAGTTTCCTTATGTGTAAAAGCGTAGCAATGTAATGAGTCGCAACTCAGCCACTGACTCCAGACACCGAGCTGCACACGTGCCTCTCTCTGCACTCACTCAGCAGGCCTTTACTGCGCATTCAGGATATGCAGGCGTTTTTCTAGGCCCCAGGGACACAGTGGTAGACAAAATCTTGCTTCAGGACTGTGCATGCATTGACTCTGGGAAGTCAATATTACTGTTACTCCTGTCTGACAAGAGGAAGCTGAAACTGGAAGGGGTTCAGTACAATCTCCCCACAATCATGCGTGTAGCAAGTGGCTGAGCTGGGATTCAGATCTGGATGGACCTAAAGTGCGGGCGGGCCACACTTTTTTTCGGCAGGCCGTGCTGTACCTCTGCAAAAGGAAAGGGTAGAGACAGCCTAGGCGCTGTTTCCAGGCTAACTGATGAGAGGCTGGCAAGGTCCACGTGTGGAGAGGACAGTAGGATCTGAGAAACAGATACAGATATAGGAATAGAGTGCGATTTTCACACTTCACACTTGGAGAACGGAGCCAAGGTTAGCAGGGAACATTTCCCCATAATTCAGGACTGGGACAGCCTGTCACTGCATGGAACCAGCTAGTTTTGATAGTTTGAGAGCAGACTTGGGATGTACATATATGTAAGGGGTCCCGCAAAGAAAGGGAAATCCTGCGGTTTGCACAGAACAGGGCAGGATGCTATTCAGCTACAAGGTGAAGGCTTTGAACCTCTCTGCCACCCCCAAAACTTTGCTGTCACACAAAGTTGACTAGTGAGCTTCCTGCCTGAGGCTGAAGTCGATAAATACTTGGAAAATTGAATGAATGATTCCAATCCACACTTGCATAACAGCAGCCGAAAGCAATTAGCTTGGACTTAGCCCAGAAGGATTTTTTTTTTTTTTTCCTTTCCCAAGCTCTCTGCTGCCTTGGAGAAGCCAGGGCAGGAAAACATAACCTTCAGTGCTTTCTTTGAAATGCAAAGATCTGTAGATAAATGTGGGGGCTCCAAGGGCAAAGCAAGATGGGCTCCCTGGGGCCCTTGGGAGACGCACGGGGTCACCAGGCTGAGGCAATGCGGTCTAAAGCACACGAAAAGCAAAGCGCCTTCTGTGAGTCTCTGCCTCCCAAGCTAAGCTAGGCTGGAGGGCCACTGGGAGGCGTTAACCTCATTAACTTGCCCCAGGGCAATCAACATTGTTTCCTCAGCAGCTGAAAATGACATGCAGCCTGCAGCCTCCGAGTTCCCTGCAGTGGTCCCCTATTACTGCAACTGCAACACAGAAATGCAAACCACTCACATGCATCTCCCGGAACCTTCCAAAAAGGTAGAGGGACGCCGTTTTCAGTTCTGACAGAGGTGGGGTGGGGTGGGGTGGGGATACCGCCTTTTCCAAGGCCACCATGCACAAGCACAGGTTCACCCCAAGCTGCCCGTCTGTCCCTTTGACGCCTTGGCCTGCCTGTCTCAGTGACACGCCTGCAGGTCCCACTGGGTGTCCAGCCGGCTCCGGAGACTACCTTCCACGCTGAGGCAGCTCTTTGGACACAGGCTCGAGGCCGGCAGCTTCTGAGGCTCGCGCGTCCTGGGGCGTCCTGGGGCGTCCTGGCCACCGAGGGCTCCAGCTGCAGGTTTTGAGCTTGGTGTAGAATCTGGGGAAGGAAGGGCTGGCGAAGTAGTAGATGAGGGGATCCAGCACGCTGTTGAGGTAGGTGAAGCTGAGGGTGAGGTGCAGGGCCAAGTGCACCGAGGAGTCGCAGGCACTGGAGGGCACCGTCCACAGGAAGTAGAGTCGGGCCAGCGCGCTGGGCAGGTAGCAGGTGACGAACACTGCAGCCACCACCACGATGAAGCGGATGGCCTTCCTGGTCCGTGCCTGTCGGGCCAGGTGCTGCCTCCGCTTCAGGCTCCCCACGACTTTGCAGGAGCAGAAGAGGATGACGCCCAGGGGCAGGAAGAACTCCAGCTGGAACATGACATCGTGCCAGCCATTGGCTGACTCCATGATGAAGCTCTCACAGGAGATGCCCTGGTCCTGCGCGCACAGGTGACTTTCCAGCAGGAGGTACAGGGTCCCCAGGATGACCAAGGTCCAGAGGACGCAGACGGCGCCGGCCGCAGTGCGGTTGGAGATGGCGTTGAGTGCGTGGTGGGGGTGGACGACCTTGAAGTACCTGTCCACAGCCACCACCGTCAGGAACACGATGCTCCCGGCCCGGTTTGTGGCCAGCATGAAGAGCACCAGCCGGCAGGGAACGTCGGCGAAGCCCCAGTGTCTGTGGCGGCGGTAGTAGTCGGTCCTGAAAGGCAGGCAGATCATGAGGAGGAAGTCGGCCACGGCCAGGTTGAAGAGGTACACGGTGCTGGGCCTCCAGGTGCGCGTGTGGAAGCAAAAGCCGCACAGGGCCACGCCATTGCCAAGGGCGCCTAGCACGAAGGCCAGGATGAGCAGCGGCGGCATCACCTTGGACACAGGGTCCCCTTCGATGAGGCAGCAGGACCCATTGTCCACATCCATGACGGAGTGGCCCTCTGGGGTCCCCGAGAAGCCAGTGATGCTGATCCAGGTGCTCCCACCCTGCTGGCTGCCACGTCCCTGGGTGCGGCCACCACACCCACAAGAGAAACTTCAGCCTGAAAATGAAACCCGGGCGACAAGGTCCTTTCTCCAGAGCTTGGATCACAAGCTGTTTGCGTCTGGAGAGCCCCAGCCTGGGGTCCAGCCTGCTTCCCAGAGGCACACACTTTTGGTTAAGTGCTTATTTCTGGGAATGGCAGCCCCAGGTCCTGAGGAGACTGGTGCCCCGAGAGCAGCTGAGTCCAGACCCCGGATAATTGCAGCTTCTCTCTTCCTCTCCAAGCTGCTGGTTGGAGAGTGCGCAGAGCTGCCCAGAGGCAGGGAAAAAGCTTATTTGTCCTCCCTGCTGGTGGAGAAATACAAACATTTCCTGGAGTCACTTTCCTCCCCTAACCTTTGCCTGACTGGCCTGACCTCTCTCCATCCCGCTGGGCGGCCCCCAGTGCCAGAGAGGGGAGGCCCAGCCCTGTGGCCACTCCGAGCCCAAAAGCGCAGCCCTTGAAACTGGGCGCTTGGTCAGATGAGGAATCCAAGTCAGAGAGGGACTTGGAAATTAATTTAAAAAGAAGAAAGAAAGACAGACAGAAAGAAATGAAAAAGAAATTGGGAAGTCTGCAGGAAAAGCTGCTCTAAGAGGGGCGTCTGTTGAGTGTTAAAAAGAAAACTATTCGACAGCATGCAGGAGGCTGAGGCAAGAGGATCACTGTGAATATGAGACCAGCCTGAACTACACAGTGAGACTCTGTCTCAAAAAAAAAAAAAAAAAGAAAAAGAGAAACATTCTTTAAAGGGTCACTTTCCTCCCCTCCACTTCGCCTCCCTGCTCTGCATCCTCCGCGGGCCCAGGTGACCAGCTGTACAAACAGCAGGGCCATGCAGTGGACCTGCAGCCCACGTGTCAGGTCTGCCTCCTGGGGAGCCGATCCTCCCCACCCTATCCCCGCTCCTCTGCTGGGAAGCAGGGCCTGAGACCCTGGCAAATTCAGCTGCTCCAAAGAGCTGAGCACCATGATACATTGTGGGTGTTTTGCTGTTGTGGTACTGGGAATTGAACCCGGGGCCTTTGCACTGGGCTTCACCCTCCTGCCCCCGCCTCCCAGAGTGCTGGGAGTACAGGCATGCATCACCACGCCTGCCTGTGATACTTATGATTTACATTTTAATCATTGCTGAACTCATCCGTGGAGGTAGATGAGGATTGTGGGAGCTTCTCGAATCTGTCTCTAAAATAATCATGGGTAAAATTAGGCTGCATAAAAAATTAGAGCTTTTGCTACAATTTCCTGTCCCTTGGCTGTAGTGATTATCTATCTGCCTATGCCTCGCCTCTCCCGAGTTAGGAGAGGCGCTGGGGGAGGGTGCTTGAAAGAGTGCCAACGCCTACTTCTTCCAAATGCTGATTAAAACTGACCTTTTCTGAGAGCTGGATGGCAAATCAGTCCAATTACACGCCCCGCACAAGATGCCAGTTCCGTTTTTCATTCAAAAGCCTTCACTTCTGCTTTCCGATCTTTTCTGATGGCAAGACTGGCGGCTTGTGGGTCACATCTGGTTCAAAACCACTTTGGTTTGGCCAACATGTTTTGAAAATCGGAAATTGTCCTAAGGAAACCCAATTTCTGTCTTCTTTTAGAAAGATGGTAATAGGTATGGTGTTGCGCGCCTGTAGAATCACCTGGGCAACTGAGCGTGAACCTGGCCTCCCTCTCATTCAAAAAGCTGGGCACGTAGCTCAGTACTCCCTCAGTTGCCGGGACTCAAAGGAGAGAAGGAAAAGAACTTCTGAAGACCCGCCATGGGCATTGAGGCTCTCACAAGGGACCAGCAGCTGGAGCTGAGTCGCTGCCCCTTGGCCAGAGTGTGGACTCTGCAGATCACCGCGGACCCGACTCCCTATCCCCCTGACTGCCCTGCATCCGGTTGGCCCCTGCCAGCTCTGCTGCGGGCAGCAGGTCCTTCAAGCCAGCTCCACCTTTACCTTTCTAGTCTCAGGTGCACCACGGCCGCCTGACACCCCACCGTTCGCCCCTGACTTCTTTTTTTTTTTTTTTTTAATCAAAACTTTTTTTTTTTTTTTTTTTTGTCTTTTTCCTTTTTATCGGTACCAGGGATCGAACTCACGACTGCCTGCTTGCAAGGCAGGTGCTTATGCCGCTGAGCTAAATCCCCAGCCCCTCGCCCCTGACTTCTAAGGAGGAAGGCCTGCAGCAGCCTCTGCGCCCAGCTCCCTGCTCCACCAGGAGCCCATGTGGACAAACCTCGCGGTGTCAGCAGGAGGGGCACAGAATCAGGACCCCTGCACTGGGGATCAGGCTAGGGCTTCACTTGTGGTAGGTCAGATGTCTAGTACTGAGCTGTCCATCCAGCCCAAATAAGCAATCTTTTTTGTTTTGGTTTTGGAGACAGGGTCTCGCTACATAGTCCAGGCTGGATCTGAAGTCACTATGGAGCCCACGCTGGCCTCGCAGTAATCCTCCTGCCTCAGCCTCCTGAGCGCTGGAGTCACAAGTGTGTGTGCACCACCACACTGGGCTACATAGCAAGCATCCTTCAGGCCAGGTTATCAGAGAGGGACAAGGATCCTCATAAATGCAAGTACTTCCCTTTTGGTCGCAGGAGTAACACTGCCTTTCTTCTCCACATCCTTGGTCATGTCTCTTTCCTCTTCGGTTTTTTTTTTTTTTGGTCTTTTTCATTTTTTATCGGTACCAGGGATTGAACTCACGACTATCTGCTTGCAAGGCAGGCGCTTATGCCGCTGAGCTAAATCCCCAGCCCCTCCTCTTCGTTTTTGACTGTGGTGGTGGCTGGTAGGCGGAGGATTACAGAAGAGAGGTCAGTTTCTCTTTTTGTAAATCCACTCTTCCACAATGGATAAGGGGGCTCAGGGGCATAAGCGCCTGCCTGTCAAACACAATGTTGTGAGTTCAATCCCCGGTACCAAAAAGAAAAAAAAAAAAGGAACTCAAATCACAATGGATAAGGGGTCATACTCAGAATATGTAATGACGCCTAAGGCCCAAGAGCAAGAAACCAACTAATTAAAACATGTGCAAAGCCTGGCGTGGTGGCACACATCTGTAATCCCAGAACTCAGGAGGCTGAGACAGCAGGATCCTTGGGAGTTTGAGACCAGCCTGGGCTACAAAGTGAGTTCAAGTCCAGCCTGAGCTGCATGGTGAGACCCTGTCTCAAAAAGAGAGAAAAAAGCAAAGTACTCAAATAGTATGCAAATGGCCAATAAGCACATCAAGAAATAGTAAATATATAATTACTCATTAGGAACATGCGCATCCAAACCATGAGGCACCAGTTCACACACAGCACAGCAGCTGTTACCAACCAAAGCAAAACAGAGCGTAACAAGCGTTGGGAAAACTGGACCAACCGCACCCTCTTACATTGTTGGTGAATGTAAAACGGTGCACTGACTGTCGGAAGGAATGTGACGGTTCCTCAAAAAAATAAAAGCAAGAAAGAAAAGTTGGGCTGCGTACGGCGGTGCATGCCTGGGATCCCAGCATCTGAGAGGCTGAGGCAGGAGGATCACAAGATTGAGTCCAGCCTAAGTAACTTAGTGACTTAGCAAGACCCAGTCTCAAGACTTAAGAAGGAGTGGCGATGTAGCTCATGCCAAGGATTAAATCTCACCACAAAATAAATGGAAATAAATGAAAAAGATAAATACAGAAAAATGCAAGGGAAGATAAAATCTGCCTCAGCTTCCTTCCGTGCCACTGACTCTGACTCCCTTCACCCCCCAGCGCCTGGGTGTGGGACGCCTCTTGTTCTCCTGTTCTTTATGATTTGAGAGTTTGGTTCTTTGAAATCTTTTATCTCTGCACAGTCACTCTATGTCTTTGGCTCGTGGTACTCAACCACGCTGGGGAAAAACCAATTCCTTTCAGCAAAAAGGACGGCCTGGGGAGGACTCAGCCACCACCTTCCATTGAGCAGCCAGCAGGCTCCCGACCTGCGGGGACACAGTCTGACCTGGCTTGGGTCTCAGGCTTGGGTGTGGCGTCTCCTAGGCCTGGCTGGAAATGCAGCATCTCAGCCCTGCAGCAGACATCTGGGTCAGAGGCTGCTGCAGTACTCAGCTGAGGGCAACCATGGAGCCACACCAGAGCCGCGCCAGTCTGGGGGTGACCTGCTGGGGCCCCAAAGGCCCAGGGCTGGAAGCTTCAGCCCTCCCTGCCTGGCCCTGGGTGGGGCGCAATGGGATCTCTGTAAGGCTGCTGGCCTCCTGAGGGTCACAGATGCACACCGCCCCTGCTTCTCAGCCAGGCTGGGATGCAGTAGTCGGGGCAGGATCCTTGGCTTGGGGGGCCAAGATTATGAGCTAAATAAACCTTCTTTTTAAAAATCCAATGAACTGGGGCTGGGGATTTAGCTCAGCGGCATAAGCACCTGCCTTGCAAGCAGGCAGTCGTGAGTTCAATCCCTGGTACCTATAAAAACGAAAGACAAAAAAAAAAAAAAAAAAGAAAAAAAATCCAATGAACTATGGTATTTTGTTGTAGGAACACAAAGCAGGCTAAGACAATTCATTTTCTCTCTCTCTCTCTTTTTTTTTTTTTTTTTTTTTTGAGACAGGGTCTATGTAGCCCAACCTGCCCTCAAACTCAGACCGATCCTCCTGCCTCAGCCCCCCAAGTGCTGAGGTTACAGGCATGCACCACCACATCCCGAATATTTTGATTTTATAGATATGATTTAATATGGGTTAGGAAAAATGCAGCTGGAGCTTTGGACCTACAATGATAGGAAGGGGCTTGTGAATGGAGGAAATGGGGGAGAACTGCTAAATTTCTATGGACAGAAAATAAAGAATGAAGGAAGATTCAAGACAAAATGAAGAGCATCAGAAGTCAGGCTGGAGGGCATCTGAGGGAGATTCGAGGAGTCTGGATTTTTTGTTGGTTTTGGTTTTTGTGTTTTGACACAGGGTCTTGCTCTGTAGTTCAGGCTGGCATTGTGAGGCCAATTTGTGAGGATCCTCCTGCCTCAGCTTCCCGGGGACACCTCCACCTGGGCCAGGGCCAGTTCCCAGCCCGTGGGCCTCTGTAGGGACCTCTCAGGAGACTCTGCCGTCTCCCGGCCCGGTGCCTCCACTGTGGGCCTCCCTTTGCCTCGGCTGTACCCGCCGGCAGATTCTATAGCTACGGAGATGTTCTCTGGTCCAAGGATTTGACCAACTGTGAGGCAAAAATACTCAAAACAAACTGTGCCTGCACTGAACATGTACTGATGTTTCTTTTTCTTGTCAAGATTCCTTAAACAAGACAAGTGTGGTGGTATAAACCTGTAATCCCAACATTCAGGGAGGCTGAGGCAGGAGGATGGCAAGTC